TGCAGTCAAGAATCATGGGACCTCAAAGTGATACAATAAAGTCAAAATTAATTACAACAGAAACTGTACGCCACACGCAAATGTCTGGCTTTTTCTTGAGGTTCAAGCGAAATGCATTTCAAAATTCCCAGAGTGAATTTTTTTTATGGTACAACTCTTCTCCTTTGGCTTTACAACATCCCAGCTAGTATAAAAAGTTAGTGGCCTCTCCCTCCAAGACAGACGCCACTGCCAGCCCATTGCTGATAACCCCCCGTTAAAAAACCAAAACCAAAACCTTCTTCTGAGCTTTCATATCTGAATAAAGAAATAAATAATAATGTATTTGTTTATAGTCCAGGATGAATTGTACTGGGATCTTGGATTAGATACACTCAGAATATAAAAGAAGTGAGTTGGTTTGTTTGTTTTTTCCCGGGGGTGAAGAAATACATTTAACCATTGTCTAAAATGATTTTTTTAAATTCGATCCCTCGGACGAGGAGCAAACTAAAACTCACACATCTAGTACCTGGAAATCTGTAACACAACTAGGGTGACCAAATGTCCTGATTTTATAGGGACAGTCCTGATATTTGGGTTTTTTTCTTATATAGGTACCTATTACCCCCCACCCCCGTCCCAATTTTTCACACTTGCTGTCTGGTCACCCTAAACACAACAGCCCTGTTGATGATCTGTGCAGCCCAGAAAGCCCAGTTAAGGTGGGGGCATGCAAGAGTTAATAGCCCTGAGAATGATGATTATTTTTTAAAACCAAGATCTTTTCTCCCACCCCCCGGCTCTAACTTTCAGCTGTTGTCATTCTTCACTTGTTTCACTGCCCTATGGCACTGCAGGTCCTGGGAGCCGAGAACTGGGACTTTGTAGGCCAGTTGAATCCACAAACCTCTCATCTCGCCCGCAAAGACCCAGCCCTAGACTCGCCCAATCCACCCGATCGGACACCGAGAGCAAAACACGGGGTTTAAATGGTTTTTTAAAAACAAAACAAAACTAGGGATTCAGCACCTGATCTGGCCGTTGGAGATGGTTTTAAAAAAATCAACTCGCAGCAAATTGGCATCGTCTTATCGGCACACAATACAGGCACGGGAACCCCTAACTTTAGGAAACTCGCCTTCAAACCACTGCCCCCCGCCCGCCTCCCCCGTGGGTGGAAATCATGCCGGGCTTCTGCTCCAGGGACCGAAATCCGCCCCAGAACCGCTGCGAGTAGCAAGTGGCACAAGCTGCCCTGCCCGCCCGCTGAAATCCGGATCCCTGGTTTAGCCGTCTCGCCAGCCCGAGGGTTACCGCTTTCCGATGTAACCCAACGGGCTAACGTGCAAAGCCGCCGGCAGCGCCGAGCCCCTGCACCAGGGAAGAGCATCTCTGACTAGGCATTGTCTGCAGAGGGAGCTGAAACGGATCCGCTTTGCCTACAGAAAGCAGAAGTTTACACAAGGGGGAGGAAGGGAAAATCGTTTTAAAAATCCGGTTACCTTCTCTCAGGGCACAGGACCCGGGGGTGGGGGCTCTTCGTGCCCTGCCCTATCCCCAGACAAGCAGATCTCCCAGTGACGGACGGCAAAGACTTGACAATTAAGTGGAGAGAAGCAATGGGTAACCCCCCCCCCCCAGCCCATTCGCTAGAAGGCGGATATTTAAGCTGGTATTTGACCACGTTGAGGATTTTTTTCCACCCTTCCTCTTTGCCCTTGTAAAAAAAAAAAAGAAGTGCAACCGGGACATGACAACATTTCCCATTAAAAACAAAAAGCTGTTACATTTGCCCAGGATATGGGGGGTGGGGGGGGGAAGAGCAAAATCCCAACCCGACAAGTAGAAGGGGGAGGGGGAGAACAAAACACCCCACCAAACCAGAAAGAGGCGACTGGATCCTTGCACCATTCAGAAACATTTCCGATTCCGCGGAGTTTCCGTCCAAGTTGGAGACAAATATCCTTCGAAAGTTCGCCCGGCGCAGCCCCACGTGTTAATGACACATCCAGAATGCGAGCGGCTGCCTTTCGGATGCCCTGACGCCGCGGCCACGGATGACAGGGGGAAACGCACCCTCCTGTGCCCAATCTCTCGCGCTCTCCTGGCTGTTTAAGGAAGCACCCTAGTCCCCACCCCCTAAATTAGACAGCTCTTGCTGCAAGTTAGCTTGGCAAATGTGGAGGCTGGAGGCTTTCCGTTGCTGCCACCCTCCAAAAAAAAAAAATCATCATCATCATCATCATTTGGTCAGTTAGGGTTTGCACAAGACAGGAAACGGACAGTCACAGCTTCGAAGGTTTTCCCCTAAGTCATTATGCCTTCTTGTTTCCAGTAATTTTCCTCTTTTTTTCTCTCTCTCTCTCCATTCGCTTCCATTTGAGCAATCCAAATCGGATTTTTTTCCCCCTCTAAACTAAGGGACAGAGAGGCCCCCTAGTGGATTTCTCAGCTGCTACCGTCTAGAGCTGTAGTTTTCAACCTAGGGTACTGCAGAGGTCTTCCGGGGGAACATCAACGCATCTAGATATTTGACTAGTTTTACAAGAGGCTACATAAAAGCACTAGCGAAGTCAGTACAAACTAAAAGTTCCTACAAAGACTTGATAGTGCTCTATAAACTATACCGTGAAGTGTAAGTGCAATATTTATATTCCAATTGACTTTATGATATGGTAAAAATGAGAAAGGTCGCAATTTGTCAGTACTCGTGCGTGACCCGTTTGCATTTTTATGTCTGATTTTGTAAGCAAGCAGTTTTTAAGTGAGGTGAAACTTGGGGTACACAAGACAAATCAGGCTCATGCAAGGGCTACAGCAGTCAGTTGCAAGCCACTGATCTAGAGCTCATGAAGCACTGCCAGTGAAGGGGCAGGGGGGTTACCTGAGCGTCAGCCACATTTTCAAGAGGCCACGGATTTTAGTGATACCTCATGTTTTCAGGGGCTTGGATTGCGAGAGCGTGGGCCTGATTTTCAGAGGGGGTGGGGTGGAACGGAATGAATAGGATTTGTGGTTGCTCAGCTATTCTGAAAATCAAAGCCAAGGTCTCAAAGTTAGGCAGTCAAAAATCAGTACTCATGACTCAAAATCATGGCCCACATCTGCTGCAATGAGTAGGTGCTATAGAGTGAGGGCCATATAAATCCATTCGGATTGGAGCTGTGTACCTGTTGTTTATCCAGTCCAATCCAATCTGACTTCAGTGAGGCCAGAATCTGAGAACTGATGTTCTTCCTGAAGGCTAATATTTTACTGGATATCTGTGTATGGTACCTGAACCTTGTGCTTGGATGCGTTCTACTTCTACTTGGCTGCCTTTATACTTGCATATAAGAGTTCTCTTATCTAGTTTTCTGTCTTTATTTTAATCTGCATATCTATTAGTCCTGTGCACTTTCTTAGGTGGCGGTATTAATATTTGTGTAGGGGTTTTCACCTAGGTTGTATGCTAATATTAGCTATTTATGGGGGGTAAGATCATGTGAAATTTCATATTCTATGGTACTTCGACTTTCCAGGGACTATAACACTGATTTGATCTCACATCTGTCGGGGCCTCCGATATGTCGCCCTAAAGCATTTATGTGTGTGTGTGATTCAGGAAGACATGGCATAGTCCCGTTTCCTATTTATTGCGTTATTCACTCAGGTTAGGGCAATACAGGAAAGGGGAGTATCCCAGATGACCTAATAGGTCTTCTTCATCTTTGGACTCTGCAATTCTGCAATAAAGCCACATTGATTGTATTGTCAGAGCTACCATCTAATTCTAACCTCATCATGACCATGAAGCAGAATCAGCAGCTGAAAACCAGGGACTGCTGATTCATTCCTCTCCTACTCTAGTCACATCTATTGCTACTCACTGTACATTTCTTGTTCAATGACTGCAGGCTTGCATTGGTGTAGGGAATGACCATGGTGGCTGTGCAGAGGGCCTAAAGACAGAGCATTGGATGGGCCTAGAGACAGAGCAAAAGTTTTGTACAGCCCCAGTAAGAAATTTGAGAGAGAAACAGGCCAGTGCTTTCAACTTACTCACTCACTCATTCAGGGGACTTTACAGCCAGCGTAAAATACATCCAAAGTTTTCGTTTAAAAAGAAACAATTTTAAGTAAAACAGAAAATTATTTAATTGCCCCAAGATCCCACTTTAAAAATATTTCACATGCCCAGTTGTTATAGACCTGTTTTACAGAAATCCTGAACACCATAAACGCCACTTGAATTCAAAGGGAGCTGTAGGCGCTCAACACCTGTGAAAATCTGGCCTTATGTTTGTATTGAAAAAAGAAACAAAAAAGGAAAATCTTCCAAATGTAGAGTACTTTTTCTGTGCGCATGTGTACACACGGTAACTTGCCTTACATTTATGCATGGCAAGATGACATACACAAGATGGGTACACAACTGTCCAGTGCGATTTTAGTTGCAGAATCAATTACTCCCACACTATCGCCTTACGAGAAATATATCAAGGGACGTTTGTATCTTAGTTTTCATGGGAAACAGTAGCTTGAAGACTTAAGGCTTGATTGCTCTGGGCCTGATTAGAACTAGCTCTTGCATCTGATCCTATGATTGTCATCATCTTTAATGGTCTTTGTATTACATGGGTCCAATCCTTCTCCCATAGGATATGAATAAATCCTGTTGACTACAATGGGAGTTACTCATACTCAACAGGGTGAGATGAGGGCCCTAGACAAGCCTGTAAATACATCAGGAAGAGAAAGGAAAGGAGGGCAGTGCATCTAAATACATCAGAAATGACTTAGACAATCAGAGTATAACAGACATGTTACTTTGGATGCTGTAGTCTTAGTTGGTTAGAAAGTCCATGTGTCTTGTAGTAATGGGACATGGAGGAGGTCAGACACTATGGTGATGAGATAGATAGATAGATATAGATAGATTTCACAGAATTTCTGGAGAAGTAGCTATTGTGAAATGTCATTTTGTGCCAGTTTGGGATGTGCCATGTTTTAAATTATATAGAGGCCACTACTAAGGGCAACACAAAGAGTGATCATTTATTTGTTAAATTTTTGTGCTGAGTGGAAGCTGCCCAAACATCTCCAAACCACAAAGCGAGGTAAACAGTTTGACATATATGTAATAAAAACAGCACTTAGCATTTCTCTAGGATTTTTCCTCCAAAGACCTCAAAGTGCTTTGTAGAGGTGAATATTTTATTCACGGGGAAACTGAGGCGCAGAGAAGTTAACTGATTTGCCAAGGTCACTCAACAATAGCAGAGTGAGGAAAAGAACCCAGATCTTCCAGTTGCTAATCCCGTGCTCTTGCTGTTCTGCTGCCACTCCCAAGTAATATGCAAACCAAATAATCATCTACAGAGAATAAAGTTATATGTTCCCTGGTTAGAAGGTTGCTGAATGTTTAGAATCAGGGAGTATGCAAAATAAATAAGGGATCACAGGCTAAAAGGCTCAAGACAAAACTGTATGGAAAGTATTGAGATAACATATATTAAAGGTAGATGTTAAACTGATGCAGTTGCTGGTCATGTGTGATGATAACATAGAGATAATCACATCATCACTACAGAATAATGCAATTCTCATATAAAGATTTGCACATACTGTTCAAGGGACTAAAGCTCTCTCCCTGAGTGATGTAGTGATGACATAGAAATTATTTTTCATGAAGGAATAACACTGATAACATTTGATTTAAAGTGATAAGATCATTACCGTGTTTACAGCGATCACAGGGTAGCCTGTGCTGTTCATTCGTTATTTTACCATACTTGGTTTTTCTATAGTATATTCTTCTTGCTCCTTTTGGCCAGTTCTATTAACAGCAGCTCAGACAGAAAGATTGCTGCATTTCTTACTTGTGGTAAGCCCTAAAAACTCAAAGCTAAGAATATGTAAAAACAGGAAGAGAGAACAAGACAGGAATAGAACATTTGCTACCTCTCATATGCATAAGAGAGAAGGGAGATACTTCTCCCAAATTAACATGATCACATATTGCTTGGCTGGAGCATCCCTGAAACAGCTGTTTAATTTCCTATTTTCAGCACCATGCGTGTTGATTCAGGTCCTGATCTTGTTCCCAATGGAGTTGAGGTCAAGCTCCTATGAATTTCAATAGGAGCAGGACGGGGCATTTATTCAGGATTTTTGCACAGCACAAGTTCCTACACTGTGGCCTGATCCTTTATGAGGTACTCTCAACTTCCAAACAGCCTGTTCTTGCTCTCACAGAAGGCAGTGGCAAAACTTCAGTGGGAGCAGGATGAGCTGCACTGAAGCCAAAGTCTTCACCTTCACCCACAGATCAGAGCTTTGGACTTCACCACATCTTCACAGAGTGGGCCTTCCCCACACAAATACCTGCTGGCTGTGCTCCAAGGAGTAGGGAATCAGGGACTGCAGCTCCGTTCTGGATGGGGGTTATGAAAAGGATTAACTCTGCATTCAGTTCCAATGTAATCACAACTGTATCAAGTTGTAACACATCACAATTTTCACAACTCTAAAAATAAATGTAAGCAGTTTGTTAGAACCAGTTTAGCAGCCAAAGGGCTAATATATTAATAACGTTAGACTAACAATGGCACGGAACAATAACCAGGGAACAATGGATTAACTCACTACTGAAAATAGCCAAGTTTAAAAAAAAACAACACCTAATTTTTACAAGATCCAAAAACCAGCTGCGGCAGCCCTTTTTTGGTATCTCCAGAGATGTTAGTTACTCCCCTCTACATTTCACAGAGGATATGTCAGCCATTCCAAATTACTCCAGATTCACACCAGAGGTCAGAATGTGACTCATGGGCTTGAATGGGAGAATTCTCTGAGTAATAAGGGTTTGGATCCAGACAACAGTGTTTTTAACTTTCCTTGGCGTCGTATCTCTTTTTTTATCTTTCTTCTTCTTTGCTCTGTTGTTACGTTTCACCTTCCCATGTAGTGTGCCTCGTTCTGCTCTTACTTAGACCCTGGGTGAATCAGGAATAATACTGAAGTCAATAGAGCAGGTTACACTAATGTATAACAGGATTGACATCAGGACCAGTATCTTTGACTGTAGGCACACTATGTACCAACCCTTCAGTTAATTTTTAATAAAGCACCTTTCATCTATAGCTCTCAAAGCACTTTACAAAGGAGGGCAGTACCATGATCCTCATTCTACAGATGGGGAAACTGAGGTACAGACAGGTGAAGAGATTTGGTCACAGCTAGCCAGCAGAGACAAGAATATAACCCAAGTCTCCCGAGTCCCACTACAGAACTCTATCCACTGGGCAACACTCTCTCTCAGGTTGCTCATCTGGGTTTGTACCTTTGGACTTGATTCTGCTACCCTTACTCATACTGACTAGCCCCTCACTTTGAGAGTAGGCCCATTGATTTCTGCTGAACTTCACAGAGTGTAGTCCTAGGGTGGCACAAATAAGCCCAAAGAAACAAAGCCAGGTTTTCTCATCTGGCTGAGAGCTGGGATTTAGGGTGTTTTACTCCCCAGGGCCACTTTGCCAAATCCCAGCCTATATATGTAAGTGGGTACAACTGAATTCATTCGTTACTGAAAGAGACAAAATTCAGCTGCCAGTGGACCAACCTGCAAAGATATTGTGCTCACGTAAGTGTGACTGAACTTGGTGGTCATTAGATGAAAGTATGAGACCATAACAGATAGACAGAATCACATTTTTTTGGTCAGACTAGTACATAATGGCAAATTTAACACAACAATGCTGAGCCTGCAGACATAGTGACTAGCCCTGGGTGCATTTCACGAAGGACATCCATTGTTTCTATGGTATGAATAGATGTTTCTCCAAAGGGCCAGATCCCCACCTCAGTTATACCATGTAAGGCCGCAATTCTATTCCCATTGACCTCAATGGTGCAGGAATGGGCCCTAAATGTGGAGTAAATCCACTAAAAGTCACTGTAGAATAGACCAAAATCTGCCCCAGACACTATGATTTGAGCCTGATTTTCAGAATCGCTGAGTACTCCCACCACTCCAGAAGGGAAGGGGAACCAAAGCATTAACTAGCAATGATTAACCTTAGAAATAATGGTTTCCTTTTCAAACACAGAGCTGTGCCTCTTCTTAGTATAATGACCTCTGCTCCAATTGCATCTATTAAAGACAATTCCTGGGGGAGACAGCTACATGTAACCCAGATGTTACAACTGTGGAAACAGCAATCACGGGTACAGTGGTGTCATGGGCAGTTTAAATTCTTACTGTCTGAACAAGAAGTTACGTATATAAATAATGGGTGCGTTTGTGGGAGCAGCTGTCAATGGGGAAATCCCCTTATCCTACCATAATCCTACATTCCATAACCCTTGGCAATTAAACAAACGTTATTTACGCTGCTGCTTCCTCCATGGGGGACCTTCAGTCCATGCAATCCTTCCTCAGTCTTTTCAAGTTTCAATCTCAAAATATGTTGCAAGTGTTCTCTATTTGGGAACTTGGAAGTGTGATGATGTTAAACCCTGGTTGATGAAGGGCAGGAATTAGGGGATTTAGCTCAACTAGGGTCTAACAAGAAATGGGCTCAGAAGTAGCAGGTGAGAATTTGTTTGCACAGCAGAAATCTTGCATTGGCTCCAAGAGATTTAAGTGTCTGCTGAGGGGGAGAGGTGTGCACAGGACAATCTATGTACAATGCTTATTTGGCCTTTGTTACTATAGTACCTGAACACTTCATAAACTTTCATGTATTTATTCTCATCACATACACTGGGAGTCAGAAACTGCTATGTTCTAAACCTGGCAGGACAGTAATTCCGTGTCCCGTGCCTCAATTTTCTCATCAGTAAAATGGGGACTTGGGCCCCGATCCAATTTCCATTGAAATCAGCGGTGAGAATCCCATTGATTTCAATGGAGTTGGATCGGACCCATAGCCCTTACATACCAAATAAGGCCGCAATCCCACAGGCCATTCCATGCAGTCAGACCCCTGCGTCTGTCGAAGCCTATGGTGCTGTGCACGGACAGAAGGCTTCACCCGGGCAAAACAATGTGCAGGATCGAGGCCAAAGGCTCATCAAACTTTATTGCTGGTGAGGAAAAAAAAATTTTAAATCTGGGTGCAACCATGAGCAAATGTTAAACTGAAATGATAAAGGAAATATTATCCAGCTCACTCCATTGTATTTCACATGAAGATTTATGACGCACATTTCAGAGGCAGTAAGAAGACAGACTGTGTGTTCAGACCCTCCCAGCCTTTTCTCCCCATCTGTAAAAAGGGAATATCCTACATGTTCAATGCTGCAGTTTAATATCATTGCCCCAAATCAACCAAGATATTAGTACTATTGGGCCAAAGTCGCTCCTGGTGTCACTGTTAGTACAGGGATGGATTTGGTCCAGTATCCTTTAGATGGTGGAAAACAATACAAACTCTAAAAGTCAGAAAGTTTGTAGTTTATGCGCTTTTTATACTGCTGATGTGGTGCATCACGGGGAATTCTGGATCCTGGCTTTGTCCTCATAATCTTCATGTTGTTTCAGGGGAGCTGTATTGTTTTGTACTGAATGCAAAGGAAATAGTTCTCCATTCAGACATGAGGACTAATAATTTGGAAGCTGTTAGTCATCCCAGGCCTGACTCTGATCTCGTTTACATTGTCTTTGCAGCCATACAATTTCACTGGCTTCTGTGGAGTTATACCCTAATGTACACCTCATGAAAGTAAAAACTATGGTCCTGATCTTGCAAATCCTTACTCACCGGGGTAATCCGTGCTCCCTCCTGTTGTCAACTACTCCTGTGTGCAAAGTTTACAGGACTGGGCCCCGAACCTCTGTTTTTTTCCGTTAATTCTACAGTCACAAAGAGGAGTCGGAAGCTTTAACATCCTCTGCGGTAATTCTAATGCTGGCTGAGACCTACCCTCGGTAACATGGTGGAGTGGAGCTCCTAAAATGTGCAGGCCTGTTGCTGCAGAGGTCAGACGTACTGGTGAGGAGATGAGATTATAAGTAGCCCCTTAGGGGGAACTAAAACATTTGGCATAATTGAAGCTTTGTTACACTCATACCAATTGGAACTTAAACTGGCATTTCGCTGGAGTTCAGCGCAGCAACTGCTGCCATTCAGCGCGAAATAAATATGTCCAAGCCTATGCAAAGCTGAGGAGGTCAAATTCCAGGGGCTCCCATGGCCTCGTGCGGTGCAAAAGCCAGAGAGATTACTTGCTGAATCGGAGGCTTATTTTGCCTCTCCAGCAGTTGCCATTGTGGTAACAGGAAAACAATACTGCTTCTTAGGAGACAGAGTGTTATTCATTTCATCATTCTTTCCAGCTGCGTCACTGAACCAGAGCAGTTCCCTCCTGCAGAAAAACCCGCAGGAAGGGAAACTCAGCAAGGTGAGCCTCAGAGAGGTTTCCTAGACCCATGCCCACTGGTGGGAGGGGTCTGGAGGGCTGAGGATTTGGTGGACCGACGCCCACAGATCTTGGGGGATACAGAGAGCAGGGAGCCTACCCCACTTTGTGCTGAAACAAGATCTACCCTGCAGGGACAGCTCCTCTACTCTGGGCAACGCAACTCCTGCAGAAACTGTCTGCACCGCCATTGGCCGAGAGGGAGAAGACATTCTTCAGGTTTCACGGCTTGTCATCAGGGCTGGCTCCACAATCTATGCGGCAGCAGTTCACTGGGCCTTCCTCTTCCGTCTGTCACCTACACACTCCTCTGATCTGCCAGCCACAACTCTGTCCCTGAGCCCTTGTCCCGCCCGACTGCAGGGCCCAAAAATGAATCCCCCAACTGCTCTCCCCAGTCCTCATTTGGAAGGTTCCACGCCTGGATTTCCGGCAGATGGTCCAGAGCCTATGGGTAAGGAAGAGAGGAGCATTCACCACTTCAGGTGAGGACTGCAGAGAAGAGGTAGCAGAAGGGATGGGAATTGTCGAGCCCCAGTCTACTACTGAGCTGGATGGCTCACCCCAGGAATAACTATGCATGGGTCCCCCAAATCCTTCTTTGTATTTAGAGACCAGACTGCGCACCACTGCATTAGTACAATAGGAAACCTTTATATTGCATTAGAACAGTCATATCAAACCTCTATTTGTGCTTCATTAACACAACATCTAACAATCACATACGCCTCTACCCCATATAACGCTGTCCTCGGGAGCCAAAAAAATCTTACTGCGTTATAGGTGAAACCGCATTATATCGAACTTGCTTTGATCCGCTGGAGTGCGCAGCCCCGCCCCCCCGGAGCACTGCTTTACTGCGTTATATCCGAATTCATGTTATACCGGGTTGCGTTATATCGGGGTAGAGGTGTAGTGCCTTACCTCCAGAAGTATCTCAAAACACATTACAAATGACTGGCTATGGAGGGATCATCTCATTTAGTGAAATGCAGCCACCTCTGGGCCGGAACTCAGCATACAGCAACACTGAACAGCAGGTTACCAATGGAATTCCTTTGGTATTTTAGGGAGAATTTGGGTCCAAATCACAATCCTGCACTGGTATGGAAATGGCTGAGTCGTGCTTTTCTGTCTCTATAGTCTATGTCCATGAAACTGGAATTTGTTTAGGAGACACCCACATGCTGGCAAAAACACTATGGGATCCTTAATAAACACAATCATAATAATACCTAGCTAGCACTTTTCATCAGTAGCTCTCAAAGTGCTTTACAAAGGAGAGCACTATCAACATTCTCGTTTTACAGGGGAAACTGAGGCACAGGAAGATGAAGTGACTTGCCCAAGGTCACCCATCAAGGCAGTGGCAGAACCAGGAACAGAACACAGGTCTCCTAAGTCCCCATGAAGTGCTCTGTCCATTAGGCCACGTTGCCTCCTTCACAGATGTGATCAGGACCTCAATTTTGCATCTTATCTAAGACTCCCTCCATCACACTGTCCCTAACAGAATGCTGGGCCACTGGATCAGTGCTGACTGAGAGGCAAGAGTGCCACCTATTAATGTCTATTAAAATGCTAATTCGGTAAGAATTGGGGCCTCATTCTGCTAAGTACTTCACACACCCTACACAAAAAGATTGTCCCCCAAGAGCTGAATTATCATCATTACTTCATGCAGCACCTTGGGTTTCTCCTAGGGCTGTCTCTTAGACTCGTTACATGAAAAAGCAGCTATTTTCCCCCCACAATATATTTTTTTTTTCAGCAAAAAGTCTTTAACCTGAATTCTGACTTCTTCAAGCACCTTTTAAAAAAAAATTAAAATAAACCCCAAGCTTCTAAGGCATATTATTCCCAAACACATACTTGCGCCTCCAGCCGAACAAATCAAGTCATTTTAGTTTCTGCTCAGGCCTTCAGCATGCAGACAAAAACATTTTTTATTCATCAGTGGTAAAAGGCTATAGCCATTTGACTTTAAAACACAGACATGCTTAGTTCTGGGCTCTCTTCCAGGAAGTCTGTGTCACCCAGGCTGTAGATCGATATGTTTGTCTGCAAAGTCACCCTTTTGATCTGTAATTTTTCATTTTGACACAAGAAATGCCTCTTGGTCAAACTTCAGTTGGTCTATTAAATTCTAAATCATAATGGAAATGAGAATCACATTGCTGTAACCATGTGATGACTACACAGTTTGGCGTTTACTTATTCTTCTGTTAGTTTGCTCGACTGTATATTTATGATTCCAACAACACTGAAAATACTGTTCCCTGGCTTCATTTAGGATAGTTGCTTTTTGGGGGGGGGTGGGGGGGAGGGAGAGTGGTCTGGCTTTCTCATAAACCAGCCACTCCACTTTATAGAATAAATCACTCATTGAATTGCTTAAGCGACATGAAATGTTATCACAATTTTTTTATACTGTGCTACGTGAGCATCACGTCAGCCAAGACCTTCCATTTATTGTTTATAAAGGTAGGTTTGGACCCAGAAGCCCCATGCTCCTTAGTCCCTCCCCTTCTCCCCCATTAGCTCTTACTCATATGAGCAGTCTTATTGGCTCCAGCAGGACTGCTCAAGCCAGGAGTGCTGGAACCCATAAGTGTTTGCAGGATTAGACCCATGCATTTATATTTTTCTTCAATGAATGAGTTCAAGATTTTCTCTAACAAAGACAGCTGGTGTTACGTGTAGGGCAGTGCATAATTTGTGCCAGGGCTTAGCTCCGGGCTTGGCAGTTCATAGCCCCGGCACCTCTGGGCTCTGCAGTTCATAGCCCCGGCACCTCTGGGCTTGCCGCATCAGTAATGAAAGTAAAAACATTGCTTGAGCCCTGACACCTCTTTCATTACAAATTACGTACTGGTGTAGGGAGTAGGGAGGAGGCAAAATGGCTGGAAAAAGAGCCCCCTGCCTTTATTAACTGCACCAGCCGTACTGATCAGGCTTTTGGAAACATCATGTTCACACTAGCCATCCACAAAAGCTTAACATAGGTTCTGGTCGAGTCACTCCACATGAATATTACATAGTCAGATTTGCATAGCTACTCCCATGCTAACACAGTGCTTCTCAACTGGTGGGTCGCAACCCCGGGAGGGGCTCATGAAAGGTAATGATGGCGGTGGTTCCCAAGGCATTGAGAATTTTTTTTTACAATCTAAGCAAAGGAAACCTCACTTCCCAAATCTCTGCACACCTTTGCTCTTCAAGGTCAAGTATTTTCTGCCACCCTCTTGAAACACACACAAACCAGTTACACAGACATCTTTTTTTTTTAAATCATCATTACATTTTTTACACTTACTTTTATAACAAATGTAAAGGGGTTGTGAAAATTGTTGACTGAATAAAAGCCGCCAATCTGAGTGGGATGAGAAACACTGTACAGGTCTGTCGCATCTTACGCACATTTAACATGCGCGATTTCAGCTTTACGCGGTCGGCAAAAAAAAAAGAGAAAAATAACAATTTTAATACTGTACCTGTAGTGCAGGCAATTCCACCCGCCATTGAACTCAATGTAATTTTGACTATACGCGGTTTTCGCTTTACGCACTAACCGCGGAACGGAAGCCCCGCGTAAGATGAGACTCGCCTGTACTAACACATGGTCAAGATTTCAAGAGGCCGGTGATTTTGAGTGTCTCCATTTTTGGGTGCTCAACCGAGACATCTTAAAGGGGCCATATTTTTGGAGGGTGCTGAGCACTTTCTGAACATCAGGCCCCTTTAAAGCAACTCAGTTTGGGCACTCAAAAAAGGAAATACCCAAAATCATCAGACGCTTCTGAAAATCTTGCACCCCTAGCCTTCCAGCTGATAGGATGAAAGCATGAGTCTCTTGATTATTTAAAGGGGCATTAAAAATTAGTTAATTCCTCAGATTTAGTTTGCTAAACAAAATTCAGACTTTAAAATCTAATAGATGGAAATTTCATTTTTTTTTAAATTCAATGAATTTTTGGGGTAGGGGGAAAGATGATGGGAGGGGCAAGGTTGGGGGAGGACAGAGGGGAACGTGAACATATCCCAGCTGTGCTGTGAATTCAAACACAAAAACGAAGTGCTAGTGCATCAGAACCAGAAAATGAAACTCACTAGAAACAAAAGTGAAAGTGACCTACGCAGCATCATTCTCTAAAGGGAGAATAATACAGTATAATGTAAGGAAACAGCACCCATGATGAAAAGGAAGTGAGCTTGCCCAATTCTTCCAGCTATGTTTATCTGAAGTATTATTAGTAAAAGAAATTGCTTTTTTCTTTAAATGTGGAACCAAGCCTCCGGGGTGTAAAACAGTGTAGCTCACTTGACTTAAATGGGACTATATTAATTTACATCAGTTGAGGACCTGGCCACGATTTTTAACGGTAGTTGTTACTCTAGACCTCTATAACTTTGGAAATACATGTTCTACAATTCTGCTAATAGATTCACTGTGTAATGGTGACACTGTATCGCAGATGGATAATGGTGACATTGTATGGGCCAGATTCTCAGGCGCGGAGCACCTGCTACACCTGATGGAAGGATGCGTTCAAGTATCTTAAGCTCACCTTTGCCCCCACCTCCCCCTGGCTGGGGCTGTCAGTGCTACATCTCCTTGGAGGCCCAGCACAGAATCTCACTCCAAGAGTCCGGATTCCAAAACCCCTGTGTTAACATTAGACAACACTTCATTCCCCAATAACAGCGTCAATCAAATCCTTTCAGGTGCAACAGATTTCCAGTCTGAGTGCTCAACTGCAGAAACGCGTCTACACAATGTTTAAAGCGGAACCCCCCCGGGATTAATCCATGGATAGGATTAAAATGATCTTGTTCAGCATTTGCTTGAGGTTTCATTTTGCCCAGCGCGTGACACTGGGAGTTCTGGTTTTCAGAACACTGTGCTGCTCTATCTAGTGGGTCTGGAAATCACATGTTGGAGCTAGCAGGGAGGTGGGCACTTTCATTCAGTCCGATAGCATCATGCAACATAGCAGGGCTCTTTCATTGCATCTGACCTCCCAACACGAGAGGTGCGGTACCAGGGCTCAGGCCTGGCGCAGCTCCAATGCTATGAAGAGTACAAGCATTTCCTTTTGCGGAGTCGGTCTGTTCAAAGGTCAGTAGGATGCCTAATGAACACATCTACCCTTTTTATACCCTGACAGTCCCATTAGTAGCAAAATGCCAGGGACAAAGGCTCTCCACAGTCTGTCTTAACTGCCCAGTGGGGGAGAAAAATCAGATTCACCATCCATCATTTTTGAGTGGTTTTCTTGGAGAATAAAACAGTGTAACACATAGGGCCTGATCCTGTCCCCCCCAACTCATGCTGAGTGGCACTTTTCCAGGCACAGAGACCCACTGTGTAATGTGGGTGAGTACGTAAGTACTAAGGATGGCAGAATTAGGCCCTTATCAAGCATTTTTAAAAGTCTCTTGCATCATAATTCAGTGCAGCTGCTCATTCGTTTGTCTTTCACCAAACCTGCTTAGGTTTTCTGACTTATTAAGAAACTGTATTGTTTATTATTTGTATTGTAATAGTGTCAACGGGCCCCCTCATGGATCAGCGCTCCACTGTGCTAGGTGATGTACAAACACGTAACTAAAAGATGGTCCCTGCACTAAAAGGCTTACAATTGCTGTGGTTCAGGTTTCATAGAAGAAGAGCTCTATGGTGCTGGGAATGTACTTTGGCTCTGTAGGGATAGTACTGAGATAAGAACCCTGGAGGACTGGACTGGCGTCAATCAGAGCAGGGGAGGGAGTACAAAGAGCATTGTGTATTAGCATTGTAGTAGAGCTCAGAGACCAATCAGGTCAGAGGCTCATTGTGCTAGCTGCTGCACAAACACATGGTAAATGACAGTCCCTAACTCAAAGAGCTTAGTTTAGTGGAATTGGTAGGTCTGGGTTCTCTTCCCTGCTCTCCTACTCACTACATGGCGGCCATGAGCAGGCCACATCTGGGTCGCAGTTTCCCCATGTGTAACATGGGGACAACCTCTGGAGGACTAGTATCCGAAAAGCACTTTGAGATCCTTGGTTGGAAGACACTAGATAAGCACAAATATTATTAGTAGTAATTTGTTCTACAGGGGCTAAAAACTTGCACTCCAGTTGGTGTAGTTTCCCATACATACCCTCAAGAAATATAGCATCCCTCTCTCCATTAACAGGGAACCCTTGTGACATAATCCTTGGAAGAAACGTATGTTTCTCTAATCTCTTAACTAAATTTGTAGGTTTTAAATTTTATCTAGTCCCATGTGCAGGACTGCAGTTCTCTCTACCCTTCCCATATTAGAAACGCATTGAATACAGCCCAAGGGTCCAATTGTATTGGTGTATTTGCAGGATCAGAGCCCAAGATTTTCACCCTACAGGCGAGCTACAAAGAAAACAGCAAATGCCAGGGAGGATCTGTCCAGCTGAGTCTGAACAAACACTGATGAAACTGGACCAGATTAATGCAATAATCATAAACCCTGCATATGTGCAGAGTGTTTTCATCTTCCAAATGCTGGGCAAACATTCCATTCCATTTTTCCTGCCTATGCAGCTGTGAGTTAGAATGTATTATCCCCATTTTACAGCTGGTGAAACTTAGCAGCAAGTAATTGGCTTGTTAAGGCCACAGAGAAAGTCAGCCTCAGAGATGGAATTAGTACTGACAATGCCTGGCTCTCAGTCTTATGGCCATGTCACACTTTTGTGCAAGAGCTGACTAATCCAATGTACAGGAATTGCATCTCCTGCCTTTTACACTGCGATTTAAATGACACTTTCTCTGGTTTGATAATATGGTGTCCCTCCGTAACACCTTTTATCCTAAGATTCTAAAGTGCTTTAAACACATGAATTCTTCCAACACATATGTGGGCTAGATAACCGGCATAATACCCATTTAACCTGTGAGTAAATGTGAAGCACAAAACAATTAGGGACAGATTTTCCAAGAGCTCAGCTCTCACCAAGGCACCAGAATAAGTGGCCTTCTCTCTAAAAGAGGTGGCTCAGGTCTTCTGAAGTATCTAACCATCTGTGACTTTGCAATCAAGTAAGGCAGTGGGAGAATCAGGACCAGAGACTCCCAGGCCCAGATCCACAAAGTTATTTAGGCTGCCTGATTTCCGTGGATATAAATGGAAGTTAGGAGCCTAAATACCTTTGAGGACTGAACCTCACTGTTCTACTCTAACCACTGGACAACAATGCCTTAAAGCAGTGACTCGTCTTCATCCATCTCAGACCCCCTACCTTAGAATTCTGTGTCGCAAATATGTACGTTACACAAAACTGATATAACTGCCTTTGCATCTACATTTATGCAAAGAGTCCGGGGGCCAAATTCAGCACTGGTGTAAGCAAGGGCAACTCCAGCAAACTCTCTGCTTCCCCAAATTTACACCACAATTTGGCTTCCCAATACCGTTTACAGGTGTTATCCGTCGCAACAAACCAAAGCCCCTACACAAGGGTAAAAGCGAGAGGAATTCAATGTTTCGTGCTTACCAAGCAATCCTCCACCTTTCATGCAGCACCAAATATTCCTTTTATTGAAATATTTACACTCACGATTATTAAGCAAAACACACTGCCTCTGTCCTCTTCTGAAATACAGTAGTACGACAAAAATCACTGCAATAAGTGGCGTAAAGGTTTCCTTTCCATATTCTGCTCATCACAACATACTGCTGTGTGTCAGGGAGGGGTCTGAGCTGTAGTTTGGATGAGGAACTGAACTTCCAGCATTGGGGGTGTCTTAGATGCAGGGTTTTAATTCAGACCAATCTCTACCATACATTAGGTGCTTTTGGGTTACAGTTGTTCATTAGCCATAAGGAGTGTGCTATCAGTGTCTCTTATCTCTTTATTCATCCTGGATTTGTGTCCACGGCTAAGGGTGTGATGTGGGGCTCTGCAGTTGCCGCTCACTCAGGCCTGGATGGCACAAAGGGATTGCTCCCTTTAATAGAAAGGAGTCACTGTTTCCCTTTCCCCGCAGCATCTTCGGTGGTAATTCGGGCTGAGCGCAAAGGAACCTGAGAATTGGACACCTAATCTCCCGAAGCCACAGTGAAAATCCCAGGCTGTCTATACATGCCCAGTGTTAAATAACATGCTAGTGTTGCCAACTTTCTAATCACACAAAACTAAACACCCTTGCCCCGCCTCCTGCCCCGCCACTACCCTGAGACCGGACCCCTACCGCACCCCTTCTCTGAGGCCCTGCCCCCGCTCACTCCTTCCCCCCTCCCTCTGTCACTTGCTTTCCCCCACCCTCACTCAATCGCTCATTTTCACTGGGCTGGAGCAGGGGGTTGGGGTGCGAGGGAGTGAGAGGTCCAGCTGGGGGTGGGGCCAGAAATGAGGGGTTCAGGGTGCAGGAGGGGGCTCCAGGCTGGGAGTTGGGATGAGGGGGGGAGGTGAGGGCTCCGTCTGGCAGTGCGGGCTCTAAAGTGGGGCCTGGGATGAGGGGTTTGGGGTGAAGCAGGGGGCTCTGGGCTGGGGCTGAAGGGTTCAGAGTGCGGGAGGGGGGTGGAGGCTCCAGGAGGGAATTTGGGTGCGGGAAGGGGCACAGGGCTGGGGCGGACGGGTCGGGGTTGGCAGCAGGTTGGGGTGTGGGCTCCGGGAGGGAGTTTGGGTGTGGGAGGGGGTGAGGGCTCTGGCTGGGGATGCTGGCTCTGGGGTGGGACTGGGGATGTGGGGTTTGGGTTGCAGGAGGGGACTCTGGGCTGGGGCCGAGGGTGCGGGAGGGGGCTCCAAACTTGGGCAGGGGATTGGGGTGCGGGAGGAGGTGTGGGCGGCGCTTACCTCAGGCGGCTTCCAGAAGCGGCCAGCTTGTCCCTCAGTTACTAGGCAGAGGCGCGGCCAGGCGGCTCTGCACACTGCCTCCGCCCGCAGCTCCACGGCTAATGGGAGCTGCGGAGCCGGCGCTTGGGGTGGGGGCAGTGCGCGGCGCCCCCCAGCCGTCCCTCTGCCTAGGGGCCACAGGGACATGTTGCCGCTTCTGGGGAGCCGTGCGGAGCCAGATAGGGAGCCTGCCAGCCTTGGGCCAACCAGACTTTTAACGGCCTGGTCAGCAGTGCTGACCGGAGCTGGCAGGATCCCTTTTCGAGTGGGTGTTCCAGTTGAACACCAGACACCCGGAAACCCTGCCACATGCATGTCAATTAGGAAGATTAATAACTAAGAAGATTGGAGTGGGCACAGCAATTTGTTTTAAATACATTCAGTTATTATTTGTTTAGTACTCAAGTGGTCTAAGGGCTTAATCAATATCCCGACCGAGATCAGGGCAATGGGTTCTCTGGTTTCAATACCAACCCGCTTCCCCCAAAGTAGGGTTGCCAACCCTCCAGGATTGTCCTGGAGTCTCCAGGACTGAATGATTAATTTTAAATTAACGATTATGTCATCCGACGAAACCTCCAGGAATACATCCAACCCAAACTGGCAACCCTACCCCCAAAGCAAAGCAGAAAACTGGCCAGCTGCAATTTCCGCATGCAATGAAACAGGGGCTGCCCAGCTGTAACCCGGCACAATGCATGACAAATCAATGAGCCCAGCTGCATTCCCAGTGCAAAGACAACTGTCATTCCACCCCCGTCACACACAAACCTGTGCAATGCAGGAAAACCGGCTCCCCGGCTGCAATCCCTCCCCCCGTTGCAATGCAGGAAAACGGGCGGCCAGTCCCCTTGTCTTTCTCGCGGTCTCTCTCAAGCACACCACGCGCGAGCAATGCAGGAAAACGCCCCCCCGCGGCATCCCTCCCCCTTTGCAACGCTGGAAAACGGGCTCTTCTGTTGCAATTCTCCCCCACCCCCTTTGCAATGCAATGCAGGAAAAGAGGCTGCCCGACTGCTGTCCTCCCGGTACAGTCTCGGCTCCGCTCTGGTAGCTTAGGCTAGGGCCAGAGATCGCTGCTCGGAGGGGGTCTACAGAGCACATGCAATCCCACCCCCTTGCAGCGCTCCTGGCCCCGCAGTCTGGAGGGCCCGTGCGGACCGGTGCACGCTCCTTTGTGCGGCGGCGCCAGGAGAGCCCGCTGCGTGCAGTAGCACCTCCCCGGGGAGGAGCAGGGGGAGGTTACACGGTCCCCTCGGCGCCGCAGCCCGGGCCCCCCTTTGTGTCTCTCACTAAACGGAGCAGAGGCTGAAAAATAAAAAGAGGCTGCACAAGGCGGAGCCAGACTCCCCTTCCCCAGCAGCCCGGGCGCTCCATTTCCCTTTCAGGCACGGACGGGGTTCGAACCCGCGATCTTCGGTTTACGAGACCGACGCCTTACCACTTGGCCACCGCGCCTGACGGGCTAGCAGCAGGCGAAAGCAGCCAGTGGAAGGCAGCAGCCAACGATCCCGGGCCTGCGTTCCATCCGCCCGGGCCAACGTTCTATTTGCCCTGGTCGCGTTCCCTCCGCGCGGCCCAACGGTCTATGTGCCCTGGCTGCGTTCCATCCGCGTGGCCCAACGGTCTCTCCGCCGCTGCCCGCGCGGAGCACAGCGCCCAGCTGCCAAACCCCCGCAGCTCCAAAGCAGCCACGGATAAACTTTCCGGCCTTATGCATGTAAAACAGCATGCCGGAGGGGAGGGGACGGGTGGATTGTAATGCAATGCTGCACCCCTCCGCTCCTTCCATGCAGTTCCCCCAAGCACCAGCAGCTCTAGAGCAGGCAAGGAAGATATTTCAGGACTCATGCGTGCAGTGACGGAGGGAGGGTTACAATACACCGCGTCCCCCCTCTTTCACCCTACAACTTCTTCCCCCTAGTACAACTAAAGCAAAAGCCAGCAGCCGCAAAGCGGCCAGAGACCAACTTTCAGGTCTGCTGTGTGCAAACTGCACACGTCCTCCGCGACTGCACCTCAAAATCCTTCCAATGGACTCCCAAAATCCCTAGTAGCTATAAAGCTGCGAGGAGCAGTCCAGGCCTCAATGCACCTTGGAATGCATTAAACCAACTCTTCCCTGCTGTGCTTCAATTTGCCTCTGAAAAACCCGCCAGAAGTTGCAACGCGACCTTGGACAAACTTTCAATGGATATGAAATCCTCCCCTGTGAGAATGTGTGGAGGGGGCGAGTGCACCTTTCTCTAGCTCCCGTCTGCAACGCTCGCCAATGAGAAAAGAGCACCGGCTACAGCGAAGTAGCCCCGTTTCCACGTTCATGCACGTAGCACCCTGCTCCCTCCAAGATAAGTGGTTGCAACCATGTAAATTAGACTGCAAGCTTCCCATGCATCCATCGGGGATTTCAAGGTGGCATGTTATGGATGCACCTTCCCCCACCAGGATGTAAGACGTTCACTTCTCCCTCTTCCCAAATAAGCAGTTGCCAAGGTGGCAAACTTCCACGACTCATGTAATGCAGGCCTCATTCTAGAACGAGCTTTCAGACATTCAACCGGCCCTAGACAGAGAGAGAGAGACATCCCCTCCCCCCCAAAACGACGGGAGGGACAGACAGCCCCATCGTGGCTTGGATCCGAGGATCCGAGCGCAGCTATCTTCCCCCCCCCCCTTAGGTGGGGCGCGGTCCTTACCCAGCCAATGCATTGAAATCTGGGCACCAGAGTAACAATGCCTTGATGAAGTTGGCTAGATTTGAACCTGCGACCTCAAAGTACAACGCTTCCTAACCCACATCCAATCCTCTAAGCCACGGAGCGCTTCATGCTACAGCGTTCACTCTGTTTCTATAGCGATGCAGCAGTAGCCACACCACAAAGCTGGCTAAAAAGCCGGGCTGTTTCCCCAGTTACCAATCTGGGACCTTTCACGAGTGTTAAACGCACGTACAGCGAAGTGTTCCATGCCGCACGCTTCGAATTATTAGCCCAGTGTCCAGTCTAAACGTGAAACGTCCCAAGAAAGTGGGTTTCCCTCACGTTCTTTGGGAGAACATCCTGAAGTCTAACATAACTATGTCAGCTCAGGACGTATTTCCTGGCAGCCTGAAAGTTCGTGTTTGTAGTTTGATCATTATATCAATATCATTATATTATTCATTATATAATAAAATACAATAAAATCGTAACAACATTAATATTAACTACCACTTTAGGAACGTTTTCTCCTTTAGGTTTACATCCACTAAATCTCCAGTCTTCTGGCTAATCTTGGGTCAGACCCCACGAAGTGAATCAGTTGCGATTTCACCCGATATCTTGTTAGGGGAGAATTTGGACTGTGTAGTTTTGACACATAATGTAGCTTTGCACTGAAATAACTTTTTTGGCTTCCAGTTTTTAAATTGACATACCTTACTTGGCTTTTAGTGGCTGATGTCTTCCTCCTGAAAACAGTATAATTTAAGTGGAATATTTATATGATATAATTTAATCTAGCTAGCTTTCTATAATGTATCTGTCAGTTTGCATCCAGGCATCTGTTCAGTCTTATTTGATTCAGGGCATCCTAAAAAAAGTACATGTATTCTGTTATACTGACACTCCCTCCACCCCCCTTTGGGTAATTAAATAAAGACCGAGACTTTGTTTTAGGACTTCAGCCCAACAAATAGCTGGCTTGGAAAGTGAACAGTTGCTTTGCTAAGTACAAAAATTTGCTTTTCAAATTAAAAAAACATCAGAAATCACCTCCCAAGCAACCAACTGCACATGCATTAGGCGTTATTGTTTATCTAGCTACTGATGGGTATGTAAGGAGTAACTAATATACTATTCACCACTTATAATCAAACCTGTAAGGGATAACACAGCTCAGAACAGGACAGAAATACAGAGTTTGGCACTATTACAAAAGTTAAAAAACTTTTCCAGAAAGCTAATATAGACTCCACAAGATTTACACATTAGAGTCAGGACGACTTTTATTCAGTCGCGTTTTCTTTCTATGATTAATCTCCGTTCACGTAATACTTTGTGTCACATACCCCAGGAGGTCTGCATCTGTTCAACAAGCGGTGTCACCCACTCAAACAAGGAGCGTGTAGAGGCAGAAGTGCATCCTGGGATGAATATATTAGAGGACTCTCGGCAAGTGGCAATTGGAAGATCAGCCTCGAGATGTTTGCCAGCAGAGGACTGACTAGGATGAATCCTGCACAAGCAGCGGCTCTGGGCCTAGCTACAGACTTGGGCAGGGGTTCTCAAACTGGGGGTCGGGACCCCTTAGGGGGTCACAAGGTTATTACATGCGGGGTTGCGAGCTGTCAGCCTCCACCCCAAACCCCGCTTTGCATCCAGCATTTATAATGGTGTTAAATATATAAAAAGGTGTTTTTAATTTATAAGGGGGGTCGCACTCAGAGGCGTGCTATGTGAAAGGGGTCACCAGGACAAAGGTTTCAGAACCACTGGACTTGGGGAAATGATCGCCCGCGTATAATTAGCGGTTTGTGTTCCCTGGCAGAGAACAAGCTGAATGCGCCTATTTCCCAGAGCTGGCTGTGTTGCCTGGGAATAGTGCCACGATACCTAGGAGAGTGAGGGCTGATGCCCCCCCACATATCTCTCACCCCCTGAATCTTCAATTAATACAGCAACACAAATACAAATCAACCCCTTCAGTATACTGCACCATGCCACCGTGTGCTTGTAATAAGTAGCTCTCATGCCAAGAAAGGTCAAAACCTGCTCGGTCCTAGGGTGTGGCAAATGAGCACTGTCTGCAGTAAAGAGACACAGTCCCTGCTCCCCTGCATGACTGTAGCTGGAATATACGCACTACAATTACAGTACGGACATACAGAGAGTGACTATATGGTCCAGGTTGCCAGAGCCGGCTCTAGACACCAGCGTTCCAAGCATGTGCGGCACTTTTCAAGGGGCAGCATTTTGGCCCTTTGGGGGCAGCACTTTTCAAGGGGTGGCACTCTGGCTTTTTATTTTATTTTATTTTATTGCTTGGGGCAGCAAAAAACCTGGAGCCGGCCCTGCAGGTTGCACAGTTATTTTGGCTGCCTTGTTTTTCTCCTTTCTCTGACGCATCTGGCTCAAACTTTTGCTGGAGGCAGCAGTGTTTTAACAAGGTGATTGCGACATCCCAATACCAGATTTCAAATTCTCTGCCCCTCTTTCCCCTCCTTTGTTCTTCCTCCGCCACTTCTTTTCCCGCTAAGGGGTTTTAAAAATTTACTACAAAGACCTATATCGCCATCTACTGGAATGATACTGAACTGCACATTAAAGTTTGATCTATTTTGTCTAACTTTTCCACCAGTGCTTTTGGAGCTTAATTGCCTTGCCTGTCTTCCTATTTCAGGAGGTGTGGGAGTAAGGCCATGAATTTTAAGGTTAAATATTTAATGCACGCATTTAAAAAACGTTTTGTGCATAATGAAAGAAAACTGACCCGTTGGCTCTGAGACTGAATAGCATGTTTCTCTATTACAATGAACTAACTATGTTGAGCCCTTTAAAATGGTTCATGCTTTGTGGGTAATGTGCTGATAGACCTTATCTGCAAAAGTGTCATTTGGATAGAATTCGGTCCTAGGGTGTTTCACTGACACACTAGACAATTTGCTGAGGTGCAATGGGAGATGTTTTGCTACTGACAGCATTCCAGGGTAGTGACCTTTAATGTCTAATGTTTGACCTTTAATGTTGTTTTTTAATCACCCCACATTTAGAACGGTCAAACAGTTTTAAAGAGAGCAAAATATTTCATGACGCACATTGGGCAATTTATTGGCATAACCTACAAATGTAAAATGCAACAGGGTAAGCATCGCACGTAAATACAGACGTTCCGCTGCTATTGAATAAAGTGTACAGCAGCCTAATTAACCACTCTAGCATTCTTAGGATGTCTATTTTGTAATCTGGCCATTGTGCCATTTTTCCCTGCACCAAAAATCTATCCCTAGCTTCATAAAAATGCTGTATCCCTGGGTCATTATGGTTACAAGCTAAGTGTCATAGTCACATCATTATGGCAAAATTGTAATGCATGATCTCCATAGGCCTGCTCATGATATAATAGACTATCATCCCTATGCTTTTTACAAAGGAGTGTTAACGAGACAGGTTATAGAATAATACATAATGGACTTAATCCTGAAATACTCAAAACTCATGTTCTAAACCTCCTTTCTACCTCTGCTGATTCTAGGGCCAGCTGGTTCCAAACAGGTCTACACTGATTTTTGCTGGCTGGAAT